TTATTTATAAAAAGAGACAGAAATGTGCTTCTTGATATACAACAAAGGAACAATTTAAATCACTTAATCGCACCATTCAACCTGAGCCTCTTCAGTGAAAGAAACTAGGGACTAGGAGTGGGAGAGACATTTGCATTTCTCTGTTACCATTGTCTTGGGGACTTGTGGTTTAAATTACATGCATTTTCTAAGATGAAAGTATTTTAAGCACTAACATGAGAAATAATGAGAAAGGTATTTTAAAAATATGCCCTTTGCACCCAGAGTTTTTGCCAAAGTAAAATTAAGTATCTTGTTCTCGAGACACCTGAAGTCAAGAGAGTAGAATGCAGATGTCCAGTCCACCAAGTGTTTGCCGTTCTGGGGTCTGCTTCCAGAATCCCCTGGGTTTTGACGCCTGAGGTGCCATACTGGGAAGGACCCTGCACAGCCATCTCATTAGCCTCCTGCCCTCACACAGTCTCCTGGGTCAGGCTTCCACCGTGGCCACCTCCTCCTGCTGACCCAGAGTGAATGTCCTTGGCATTCCAAGGCACTCTGACAAGGACTGAGGGTCTAGAAATGGCCCCCAGGGTAATATCCCTCATATTCCCGACCCACTTGAAACCCTTACAATATGTTGACTTTCGCCATCCTTCACCTTGCATGGAGACCCATGAATGGCAGCTGTTAGAGAGAGCACGGTGAAGTCTCAGTAGTTAAGATGGTAAACCAGGGCCAATTATCTCATCCCCAGTTTTAATCTCAGAGTCACATCAACCACAGTATTTAGTTACTTTGATTTTCTAAGTTTGCTTCTACCTAACATAAGTCACCTTTTATGCATTCTAGCAGGCATGATACAGAAAAGTTGGATGACAGTAGGAGCTTGGAAAGGAGGAGGAAGAGCTAAAAAAAACAATTGTAAAAATCCTAGTTAAGACAAAACAAAATGGAAAATATAGATTATATAAATAGGACATTTCCCAGGAGAAATTTCAGCATAAAATAAGCATATACTTCAAAGTCCCAAGGTTGTTCCTAATCTGAAAGGCTGCTTTGGTGCGAAGGGACTGGAACATGACCAGCATGTTGTCACTCTGACTCGTCCACTTTTGACTCGTCCACTTTAAACTTGGAAGGAGGCAGGTGACAGAAGACTGAGGTTCATACAGTGCCTCAGGCAGCTCCTGTCAGACTGTACCTGACTTCTCTCCGCTCTGCAATCTTTCGTAAATCAAAGTTGTGAAGCAGGCCTAGAGTCCCTTGGGAATACTGGGAATCCCAGGGAATCTTACTATACCCCCAGGGTTTTAGGAAAAATAGGAAGTAATTCCATTCTCTTCATTCTGGGAAAGGATTTTCACTTTGTCTTCTTTCCCACAGAGTGTTTGTTACTTTTCTTTAAGCAGAAAACATTCTCACACCTGATATCCTCTCTGCATTCCCCCCCATTCCCCATAGGAGTCCACTTTGGTTCACACAGAACTTACACAATTAAATACTGTGGTTGACGGGAATTTGAAGATTAAGACTTGAAGCGAAATACGTGGGCCCTGGGTTAGCATCTCAACCAACGAGGCTTTGCTATGTTCTCCAAGAATCCCAGCCATAAGACTGATAACCTGGGATTGATTCTGATCCTGGCATTTCCTTCCCTGATTGTGGCCACACCCACACACCCCAGCCCCCCAGCATTGCAGTAGCTATGCTGGGGGTTGGTGGTGGTGTATACTTTCTGTTCTCAGAAGAGGCACCATCAGGTCTTCCTCAGGGTGGCTTTGCAGCCATGGCCAGAGGGAGCAACTTAGCTGAGACACAGATCTAGGGAGAAAGGAGAAATCACTTCCTTAGCAGCTATTCAAACAGTTTCACTAGAAATAGAGCCTGAGAAAAAAATGTCCTCAATAAATCATCACACAAAATCTCAGAAGCAGTGAGTAGAAAAGAGGGCAGCAAAAATAGAGTTTTAGGAGAAGTTTAGCCTCAGCCTGATCTCCAGGACAGCTCTGGCATGGGGTTGTCCTCTCATTATCCCTTGCAGAGTAGATGCTTCAAACTCCCCAAATCCCTTGGCATTGGGTATAGGCTACCCCTATGAGTGGGACTGTCTAGTTCTAGCCATCCTAAGATGAGGCAGTACCCTTCACCCAAAGTCAGTCCTCCAGAGAAGGGTGAAGGTGTGAGCCCTCAGGACCCACTTGTGGTCTGGTACTCTTGACTTAACTAAGGCAGCCTGGCAGGGGCCCCCCCCACCAGCCAGAGCAGTTGGAAATAGAGTCAGTGCGCCAACGTGTACCGAGGAGCAATGTGAGGTATGGACAAACCCTGCCCCTACCATGTCCTGCCTGTAAGATACCCAAGGCTCGGTACTGAGAGCTGAGAGGGAAGGTCTTATCTGGTCACACTGGAGACAAGATAACTAGAGAGGAGTGTGGAGGTCATTCTATTTTGTCTTTCCTGGCAACCACTCTGGTTTCAGTTCTCTGCCATTGCTTGAATTCTGCCCAACTGATATTTACTGAGTGTCTGCTGTGTATACAGCACAATTTTAAGCACTGAGCAGGGAATTGCAAGACACAAAACAACCTCTACTTGGGGCCTTAGGAATTTACTTGTCAAAAAGGAGAGCCTGGAAGAAAAAAAAGAAAAAAGAATGTGATGCAAATATTATCAAGTTTCACCCCAAGAACAGTGTAGACTAAGTACTTGTAGGATCTTGAAGCCAAAAGTAGACACCCGGCTTCGACACTCAGAAGGATGGTTTGTGTGATGGGAGGTCTTCATCCCAAATTGCTCTTATTTTCAAACTGTGATAAAAATATTCTGGCAGCTTTTCATCTGGGTAAGACTAAAGAAGATAGAAATGCAAGTCAGATGCTGGTAAAAGGGGCGGGGTGGGGTGGGGGGAGGAAGCCATCCTTTTGAGGCTGTCATTTTGCCATGAAAATGTCTTTAATTCTCAGTCTGGGAAGGAGAATATTAAACATTTCACTCATTAAACAAGATTATTTTGAAGCAGGAGGCCAAAGGTCCCACTAACATTGTAGAACAATACTGAATCCAGTGCAGTCTCTCCTTTCAGCCCAGACATGTTTTAATGTTACAGTGTTTTCTATCTTTATATTGGCACGGGCATATGTTAGTCCCTCCACTTGAATTACTGTGTTTTCATATACTTTTTTAAAAAGTCATATGTTTAAAAAGCATACAGGGGCTGAAGTGTAGGGTAGGTGTTGGGGGGGAGGGTGAGAAGATTCACGAGAGAGAGTGGGGAGCACAACTGGTGGATTTACTGATATACACTGCTGAGGGGAGCAGCGGATGACACAGGAGAGGTCAGCCGTGCCATGTGGTCAGCTCCCTGGCGGGGGGATAGAATTCATGCTGCAGGGGCTAGTGATAGCTTCATCGAGCTGACTTGATCCCCTGTGCCACCAGGAAGGCCCGAATTACTCGCCCAGAGTTTCTGCTCTGCTACTTTGGACCGATCTAAGGTTCATTCTTTCATTCACCCATCCCTTCATTCCTCAAAACATTCTTAGGGTCCTGAGGGCCTAAGGAGGCCCTGCTGTAGATGCTAGGAGAACGAAAATGAGAAATGAAATTTGCTTCTGTTCTCAGATACTCGCCATCTAGTTCGGAAAGACAGAGAAGCAGGTGATTATTTTAAAATATGATACTTGCTAATGTAGAGCTCTTCCCAGGACTTGTTACGTGGAAGAGCTTAGAGGCTATTCAAGAAGCTTCTGTAAAGAACTTGACTTTAGTTGAAACCTGAAGCCCTAGTGAGTAGTTCACATCATCTTCTAGTATTTTCTTGATAGCATGTATAATTGAAGGAAAATTATCTTTTTAAATTTTGTCTGTTGATATTCTTAATCTCTCTTCTTTATCATCCCATTAAAACTGTATCAACTCTTTTTTTTCATCATTCCTATTGTAAACAATTTTAGACATTTTTATTTAAATCACCCCTCCCCCTGAAATGTTCTGTGGCAAAAGACACACATGATAACTTCACCTTTTTAACAGTTTTAAGTATATAATTCACTAGCTTGGGTACATTTGTGGTGCAGCTATCATCATTACCCATTTATAGAAATGGGTATCTTTCCCAATTGAAACTTTGTGTCCATTAAACTCTTCTGTCCACGATCCCCTAGAAACCAGTATTCTACTTTCAGCATCTTTGAACCCCACTCGAGGCACCTTACATAAGTGGAATCATGCAAGATGGCCCTGCTGTGTCTAGTTTCTTTCACTGAGGATCATGTTTTCAAGGTTCACCTGTATCACTATTTCCACCTTCTCCTGGCTGAGTATCCTCATGAAATTCAGCAGCACACATTAAACCTGTTGAAGTGCTGTGGACTATTGTAGATCCACAAGCCATGCTAATATGTAGGAGTCACCCCCTCCTAAGCACCGGTGTGGGCCTCTCAGGGCCATGACCCCAGTTAAGATATTAATGTGTATTTTACATGCTGGGATGTCAGCTCAGTGACCTCGTTGCTCTTTTTCTGCACTCTGCCCCCAGCTCTTAGTATAGTGCAGAGCTCACAGTCAGCATGAGCTACCATTTGCCCCCCTGCTCCTTTTTATTTATTTATTTATTTATTTTAAAGATTTATTTATTTGTGCATACAGAACTGGGGTACAGGCCAGAGGCTCAGGGGCGGCGAAAGGCCTCACCAGAGACAGAGTGGGGAACAGAACAGGCAGATCGACGAAGTGCACTGCTGAGGGGAGCAGCGGGCGGGTCAGGAGAGGTCTGCCAGGGCATGTGGTCACCTCCCGGGCAGGCGGGAATCGAACTCATGCGGAAGCGGCTTTAGATTCTCAGTGCTATGCTTTAACCCGCTGCGCCACCAGGGAGGGCCTCCTTTTTATTTTAATCCACTTTTAAAAGTTGTTCTTGGAGTAGCTACAGCTGTATTTTGACCAGGTGCTGCCCAGCCAGGCAATTCAATGCAGCCGTTCCCCTCACTCACTCACTCCCTGTGCTGCTTCCCTCACAGAAGTGAAAGATTATGAGCCTCCGTTTGGTTCCAAAGTGCGAGAACATCCCTGTGTCGAGAGCATGAAGGACAACGTGTTACGAGATCGAGGACGGCCAGAAATTCCCAGTTCCTGGCTCAACCATCAGGTAAGGAGTGACTGGCTTCAGGTCAAATAAAAGTCATCCAACATTTCCCCGTGGGCGAGAGCAAGAGGCGATCATGGACTGTGGTCTGAGAGCACATAGCCTTGTGTTCTGTGACCTTAGTAGGTCTTGTTTCATAAAGAACGTTACAGTAAGGCGGGACGATCCTGTCCTGGAAACGCCGACCAGCAGGCAGGCCGAGCACGCACGTCCACAAGCTCATAGATTACCCTGTGTGGGTGTTTGGCCCCTTTCCCGAGCCCCTGGGTTCTGGGGTCACACATGTTGTTAGTAGTCTCTCCCACTCCCCACCCCTCCCCCACGCCTTTTCCTAGGGAGTTTATGTTTTGTTCCAAATGTTTTCCAATGGGTTCCAAATGTTTTCTTCTGGAAATCTTCAGCGCTGGAAGGAAATAGAGTGAGCAACACGCAGTTTGTCAGCAGCTGAAGTGAGTGGTGAGCGCTATTGCTCAAGCCCGAGATACACAGGCTTGGGAAAGGGGAGCTCTGGCGCCTTGCTCTGGAGTAGCAGAATACAGAGAAGGAAGGAAAATGCAAAGGAACACACAGGACCTCTCTGGGGAACATCCATGACTTGATTTTCTTTTCAAGCCTGCAGGGAGTGGGCTCCACATTCTTGGTGTGGGGGCCTCTCCTCAGGAAAGTGGTCAGGGAAGAAGAAAGGATCATTTGTGAGGCCCGTGGAGACCGAGAGGGAGCAGCCGTTCTCTCTACTGAGAAAGAAAGGCAAAAACTACTCTAGGCTCCCTTGGGTGAATTCTTCTATCTGGTAAAGACTGGACTCAGTCATAGACTTTTTTTTAAAGATTTGTTTATTTATGCAGACAAGAGCTGGGCTACAGGCCAGAGGTGTGGGGAATGAGAGGATTCACCAGAGACAGAGTGGGGAGCAGAACAGGTAGATCAACTGAAACACACTGCTAAGGGGAGCAGGCAGGTGAGACAGGAGAGGTCTGCTGTGCCATATGGGTCACCTCCCTCAGCAGGGATTGAACTCATGCTGCAGTGGCTGCGGATAGCTTCATAGTGCTGAGACTTAACCCCTTGCACCACAGGGAGGCCTAGTCACAGGCTTTTCTAAGAGCAGAGTTAAGAACCGAACACCGGACCAGACCCCGGTGGGAGACAGAGCAAGAGGCCCAGCTATGCCAGCCAGCCTCAGCCAGCAACAGGCCCCTATAAATGGGGGAGGGGACAGCATGATTCCTGGGGTCCTGGGCAAAGAGTCTAGACTGTTTCCCATGAACTATGAAATCACGAGGCACTGGTGATTCTTTCAAAACTGCTGCTTCCTCTCCTGTACAGTTCTTGTAATGAAGCCATTATTCATGATGATAAAATTCTGGAAAAATTTGCATAATACATTTTTTCTCTTAATGAGATTTGTTGCCCTATTGATTTCAAGTTAATGCTTAATATTTAATTTAATTTACTGCCTGTAATTACAGTGCCAGAATAAAATAAATGTTACTTGTGTACCAACAATAACACTCTGCTCTTAACAGGCCATCAATCAATACCGTCAATTAGGTGAATTATACAATTAATTCAACATCATGTACTCACTCAGGGTCGGGGAGAGGTATATGGAGAAAGATTTTGGTGTTTGAGGGTGAATGAGCAAAGTGCATGTTGTTTTTCATACAACATGGGCCTCCTTTGTGGGATCCCTAGGGACAGTGGGACTTCCCTAATTAGCAGCAACACACTCTTTCCATCACTTGGTCTCTCTTTATGCCTCCCTCCCCCACCTATTTTATTTCCCAAAAGCACTTTAAGTAATACAAAAAATATTTTCTATTGTTAAGGCCAGTAGAGAAGACCCTTGCTACTCTATAGGATCACATGTTCTGGGTGGATCTTTTGAGTAGGATCTTTGTGGGGTTGGCCTATGAGTGTAGCTGTTTCTTAGGTCTGAGTGATGATGGAGAGGCCTGGGTTATAGAGGAGGCCTCCTTGGCAGCTCAGATACTGCGACCAAAGCTCTGCCCAAAGCATGCGCACTTTATGAAATGAAGCTAGACTCGTGCGTGCCCTTCAGGATTCTGGAGAAGTCAGCCCTGCTCAAACAGTGATGCACCTTTGATTCCAACTCTTGAGCACTCTGGGAAAGGCAAAATCACAGGGATAGCAAAGATCAGTGGGTGCCAGAGGCTGGCAGAGCACAGGGGGGAGGAGGTAGGATGACCAGGGGTTGTGCAAGGATTTTTAGGGCAGTGAAATTATTCTGTGGAGGATAGTGTCATGGTGGGTACTTGTCACTGTCCTTCAGTCAGACCTGTTGTGTGTTCCCTAATGTGAACCATGGACTTTGGTTGATCAGGCTTTGTGTGTGTTGGTGCAATAAGTGTACCCCAAGGCAAGTGATTGAGGGTGGGAGAGGTTGAGTTTGGAAACCTCTTTGTTTTCCATTCATTTTTGTTGTGAGGCTAAAATAGCCCTAAAAGCAAAGCCTGAAACCACTTTAAAAAAAAAAAAAAAAAAGTAGGAAGGTGTGCAATGATATAAGGGCCACTCTGTAGGTATTGGTGGGTTGGGGTTCTGCTATCCTCCAGAAGCCCCTGGAAGGTCCATGTGCTGTCTCTCCATCTCAGGAACTATGCTGATGAGATGATGCTGGAGCAGATGGGCGCCAGGGCCGGGCAGCCCCCGCACCTTCCCTTCGGGCCACTTAGGACTGACCGCCCTGTAAGAGGGCACTCTGGCAGGACCACCTAGCGCACTGGCCCTCCCCCGACCCCCAGCCTGCTCAGCAGGTCCCTTGCCTGCCATGAGCCCACCAGCTCAGGCTGCCTGTGTTCTTTCCCTCTGCAGGGCATCCAGATGGTGTGTGAGACTCTGACCGAGTGCTGGGACCACGACCCAGAGGCCCGGCTCACGGCCCAGTGCGTAGCAGAGCGCTTCAGCGAGCTGGACCACTTGGACAGACTCTCGGGGAGGAGCTGCTCCGAGGAGAAGATTCCAGAAGATGGCTCGCTAAACACTACCAAATAGCTCTTCCAGGGCAGGCTGGGCCAAGCCCAAAGAGGCCACCCCATCCCCAAAGAACAGGCAGCTGAAAGCTGCCCCTGAACCAATGCTTCCTGGAAACCCAGGGGTCTCTCCGCTCCCTGTAATCTGTGGGGGTTAGGCAGAAATAAGAAGACCGCAGGGTGTGGGAGCACAAGCATTCAATGCCTTTGACGTTGTCATAGGATAAGCTGTTAGCACTTCCTCAGGAAATGAGATTGATTTTTACAATAGCCAATAACATTTGCACTTTATTAATGCGTGTATATAAATATGGAATAGCTATGTTTTATATATATCTATATATGTCATATCTATATATGCAGCCATCCTCTGGAAAGCGATAAGGAAAAGATCAAATATTCCCAGGCAGTCGGTTTGATTGGAAAGCTCCTTCCCAGCGCACAGAAGGAAGGGACTCGTTTCACGTTAGCACTTGACAATCACGCACTGGTGCTCTGCATTAGGAGGGGGTCTGCAGCAGGAGGGAGACTTGGCGTCTCAGAGTCCACTGTGGACCCTTTGCACTTGCTTTTGCTATATAATAATTCCCCGCACTTGGGTCCTCCTTGGCCATGGGAGTAAAGACAGTCTGTTTGGGGACCAGGTCTGGGGGTGCCTGTGTGCCAGTGTTTCTCCTGGACTTTTCACTTGAACTTCAAGCTACCTTCTTCAACAAGCTGGAAACTCTACTCCATTTCTGACAGCTTAGACATCTTGAGCCCCATTCTCAAGCTGCAGAAATCTCTCCACCTAAGATATCGCCACACTTTCTACTAAGGAGAGATTAACAAAAGAACAGTCACCCCCCCACAGCCACCCCCCAATGCCTCTGTCTCTGTTCTCCCTCCCAGCCCTTCTCCCTTTCCTGTCAAGGGAAAACATCTCCCCTGCAGTCTTCATTGTTTGACTTTTCATACATTTGATTTGAGCTGAAGCTTTCTTTGCAAATGCAGGTGGGCTCCTGAATACGTCACCGTAAGACTCAAGAACATTTTGACTGAGTGGACAGGAACATAGCTGCACCTTACCGCACAGGCAGGACTGTTTCCTCAGGCACTCCTGAACTTGTGTTTTGCTTGGCCTGCAGAGCACTTCACGAATGAGCCACTTTTTCAATATTTGAATATTTTCCCAAAGATCTGGACCCCCAAGTGAAATAGATGGTTTCCAGTTCAGTCCACACCATTCACAAAATGTGTAGACACTCAAAGCCGCTTCACTTCTTGCTAGGAACAAAGGGAATTTTCACGCCCACCCCCACCAGGAATTCAACTTGCCCTTTTCTAGGTCCCTTGTAAGACATGAGCATCCAAGCAGTCATTCTCCAGCTGTGGAACATTTTTCTGATCCCTCCCTCTACCTGGCCTGGGGTTAAGATTTGGAGCTGGTCTTTTTGACTAAAGGAACCTCCTCTAAGTGGTCCCTGTGAGCCCGAGTCTCTTGTGCTTCGCTAGAAGAATAATCCCCACTGCATTAGGCATGGGAGCACTGTATTCCAGGACACCAGCATATCAGCCATTGCAGAATTTGCTGGCGAGGACTTGAATGCAGGACACTATTGTCCCTTTTGCAGTTAGGAATAAGTGTCCACAGGACAAGAACAAAGCTTTAATACTCCATAGGAAACCTGTTAATTCACACACATGTATTAATGCTGCAAATAACAATTTTTTTTAATGTTTTTGAAGCTACTTATTTTCAGCCAAATAGGAATCTTAGCAAAGGACTGAGAGTGAGCAAATCAGCTTGATTTGGATTTTGGAAGGTCCCTTTTCATGGGGGGGGGGGGGGGTTAGCAGAATGCTGAAGTTTGGAGCGAGGTAGAACTTCCTAGGCATACTGCTCAGTTGGCGTGGGATGAGAGAAATAAGGACAGTTTGGCTGCAACGCCTTGGGAATGTCCAGAAATTCTGTGCTCTTTAAGGTTGTTGATGCCTTCCAATAGCTGTTGCTCATTGACCTCTAGTGGTGAATGTTTAGAATGCTGGTCCTTGAATGTGATCTTCCAAAATTCAAAAGAGCTTTATGATTCTGGTTGCTCATCAGCATAAACTGGAATGTTGTATCAGATGATACTGTGGCTTGTTTGTTTGTTTGTTTATATTATTCAAGAAAAAGACCAAGACTACATTCTGCATTTCCTAAAAATACTTACTACTATGCATAAAGGGAAAGTTTTATTCTTTTATGGAACACTTCACAGTACTCATGTATTAAAATAGGAATGTGAATGCTATATACTCTTTTTATATCAAATGTCTCAAGCACTTATTTTCATCCTATGCATTTTTTGGCTTTTATATAAATAAAATGTTTATTAGATTAAATAAAGCAAAAATACTCAGGTCAGCTTCCTGCCTCCTGTTCCTATTCATAGCTAAGTCTATTTGCTTTCCTTGGTGGTTTTGTGGTTTATGCAGAAAAAGTCACGAAGCATATCCTATCCTCCTTTTCCATACCCCCTACTTCCACTGAGAATTTCAGATGCTTTTTTTTTTTTTTTTTTTAAAGAAGCAATGGCAGAAGTACAATATATATTTGAGATTGTCGGGGAGAAGAATATGCCAACCCAGAAGACGACTTTTTGGCAAGTTTGATTTCATGGGAGGGGCTCTTAAGGTGGAATGGAGTTTGCTTTTGAAAAACACAATTACATGGAAAGTTGTCTCTGCAAGGCCATCTTCCTTGCTATACACAGGAGACCTCAGAACTGGGCTACAGGCCAGAGGTGCAGGGGCAGCGACAGGATTCACCAGAGACAGTGGGGAGCAGAACAGGCAGATTGACTATACACTGCTGAGGGGAGCAGCAAGCGAGACAGGAGAGGTCTACTGCCCCATGTGGGTCAGCTCCCTGGCCTGGGATGGAACTCACACTGAAGCAGCTGCAGGGAGCTTCCCAGTGCTGAGCTTTAACCCACTGCGCCACCAGGGAAGGCCCTCCTTCTTTCTTTTTAATGGAAAAGGCAGAACTTAAAGCTGCTTGCTTGGTGTACTGTGCCTTCCCTGGTAAACTCCTTAACTGACCTTCCTTTCTCCCCTCGCCCTCCCTTGACTTAACTATGAAGATAGAAACCACTTGGGGATTTACAGTCATGCTGGGTCTCTGCAGGTTAGTGTGTTCTTAAAACTTTTTGACTTGTTCTGTGATCAGTCTTTCTGAGGCTTGTTTGATTATTTGCCAGCCTAGGAGAACTCAGAAAAGCACAGGAAGATGTCTTTTCTGCCCCAGCTATTGTGGGTGACCTGTCCCTTGTCCCCAAGCCCTAGCATGGAATCTCTTGGCCACCATTTTAGCCTGCTCCCCTGTGTCGCAAGCCAGCCTCCTCCATCCACTTGGCACAGATCAAGTCGCTTCTAAGCGCTCATGGTATTGCTTTTATGTTGTCCTAAAGATCCCTACACCAGCGGTGCCTACCTTCTACCCAACCACTCACAGCAGCCCATTAGCAGCTATTAATCGGCTTTATCTGAATCTCTAGAAGAATGTGCCTTAGGCAGTGGCCCCATGTCATTGCCTGCAGACTTTCTTCGGAGGAAGTATCTTCAATTTTCTTCCCAAATTTTGAGACACCTATTTTGGAATCTGAGAGACTCGCGGCTTCTTCTGAGTTACCAAGTAACTTCTAAATAGCTAAGTTTCTACTGAAGATGGTAAGTAGTGCCTGTTTCAAGGTTTCTAAATCGCAACACTTGTGCAATAGCCACTTGTTTGTCTGGGGAGTGGGCCTGTCCCTGTGTTACACGCCATGGAGCCACACCCCGGCCTCTCCCCACCAGACACCAGCAGCACCGGCCCACACCTGTGACAATCAAAGCATCACCAAATACTTCCTGAGCTCAAAAGTTGCTCCCAGGTGGGAATCGCGGCGGTAGCTGATGTTCTCCGATACTGCGGTGGGCATCATAGTCCTGGCTGCAGTAGTAGCTGGTTACTAACGTTAGTGGTTACCTGCTCTGTAGTAAGCCAAGAGCTGTTTTCACAAAGAAAGAAATCACAGGGCTCTGGCTGTAAGTCCCGAGAGCAGGCCACAGAGGACCAAGGGCCCCCAATCAGGGGCGTTTCCTGTGTGAACACCCACACTCTGAAGCTGCTCATTCGGGGAGTATCTGCTGTGGCATGAGACTTAACCCTCGGCTTGTTCCTTGCCCATTTTATAGCTCAGAAACCTCAATCTAGAAGAAAGTCTGGGGTCTGAGAGGTAGAATTTGGATGCTAAGCCATGAGATCCTGGAGCTAGAATTTAATGTGAGTCGGAATAATAATTTCGAATAATGCTTGGTTCTTTAGCTGCTTCATGTTGTCTCTGCAGGAAACTGTCCTGTCCAGAGGGAAAGGAGGGCCAGCCCAGGAAATGGCCCATTCTTCTGTCTACAGGACTTGGTTCCTATTTTCCTCTCTCCCCACGCCCCCCCCCAGGGTCTTTGTATTCAAAGGGGTCAGGGAAGAAGCTGACAAGGAACCACTCTCCACTAATCTAAGGGCTGTCTAAATTCTTGCTGAGATCGAATAAAAGATAAATGACCCTGCAGGGGCAGAGTGGCCTGATGTGCTAGCCCAGTGGATTTCAGGTGGTGCCACCTTTAAAAGCATTATTTTAATGGTCTTTTAATTTTAACATGTCAGGAAAAATAACACATTCCAGCTTGGGTTTTCCTGAATATTATTGCTAGAAATAGAGATGAGTTTGAAAACTTGAATCGATGTTTTAAATGCATTAAGTAGATAATGGCACTTACGTTTGGAAACTACAAAAGATGGAGACATGAATAAGAATGGAGGGACTGCTCCACCCACGGAATTAATCAGTAAGGGCTTAAGTACTCACTATGCACCAAACGCTATTTACCTGCTTTGAACTTCACCACTAATCGGAGGTAGTTTTTCCTCTATTTTAGAGAAGGGGAAACTAGGGTAGGAAACAAGGTCTTGCTAAGGACCTTTAAACCAAGATTGAACACCTTCAATGTGTCCTGAAGCTGGAGTTAAGGGATAAGGTGGTGCCTCTGGCTTGCTTGAGGAGGATCTGATTCCTTATCCCAAATAGGGGAGAGGAAAATGCAGTTGGCCACAGAGGGGAGGAGGTTGATCACCAGGAGCCCTTCCTCAAAGGCACAAGGACTCTGGACCCCAGGCCAGGAGCTTCAGCCAAACCAGGAGTCAAGGTCTGGGGACCCCCTGCAGGTTATTTCAGTTCTTGCTACTGTGAAGTCAGGAGCATTCCAAGTTGACAGTGAATTTCCAAGTGTCCTCAGGAGGGACAGGGTCCCCTGTGCCCCGTCAGCAGCTTTTGAATGCAGCTTCTTTGTGCCCTGGAGTTTCTATTTTGTGGTAGTGGTTTTTGTTCTAAGCTCTCTATGCAAATGACATGCTAATAGTCCAGTCCCCAGGGCAATCCCTTTCCCAGGTGACAGACAGGGAACTTTTCATTTAAACAAGTGTGTCCATCTTTTTTCAGAAAAGTCACTGCAGTTAGCTTCTGCTCATTTTGTTCATTTTCTTCCTGAAATAGGCAGCCTAATCATTGCTTATCACATTTCTAATTAGTTTTTTCTTTTTTTTTTTACTTGAATAATTATAGCTCCAGACTATGAGTTTGGGGCCATGGCTTTCAGGCCTATTTTGCAAACTGTGCTGATAAAGGCAAGATTGTGAACTTGCCCATATTACATGGCCTGCCAATCAGCTTCTCACAGTGTAATTTAATTCTAATACACCTCCTGATCTTTGGTGCATTTAAAAATAACTTGCTAATAGACTTCCTGTACTAATTAAGCAAAAATTGCACACACTGAAATGCTTGCTCGCTTGCTCTGTCTCTACACACACACACACACACACACACACACACATACTGGTCCTTAAAAATCACTTTGCCTATCAACTGGTATACCACATTGCTCCTGAAATTGTCCTCCAACTCTTTGCCCTTCATCCATGCCCACCCATGCCCATGGTGGACACCAGAACAATTGTAGCCCTGGTGTCACAGGAGCAATTGAAATTTTATATTTCTCAATATTCATAATAAAATTCTGTCATTGAGATTTCTAGAGCCCAATTACTAGTGAAGGAAATAAAGATGAATGTCTGCTCCAAGCTTCCAGTTTGAATTCAGGTCTCTCTCAACCCCTCCAAGCTCTTTGGCACTTTTATACTCATCACCCAACATATTTCAGCTGAAGGAAAAGTGATACACCACGCTAGTCCTCTTTGCATCTTGAAAGCAAGTAACTACTTGAGCTTCCAGTACAGAATAGAGCACTTAATAATGGTTTTTCAATAAATTTTTGTTGCAGGAAATAATGAAGACTCTTGGTCTTTAGAAGTCATTGATCCAGCTCAGAAAACAGATATATGGATAAACTGTGTGTTTGGGATGTCTAATCAGTAATGTCCATTGGATCAAAACAGCCTGAGGTCAAAAATAACTAGTGTAGGCAGAGAATTTCCTGGGGTCTCCTCCACATACCCTTGCAGTTGTGGGCTCTATGTGTCACCACTCTCCCCAGGAGCTTGGCCTTGCTCCTCCAGTTCTCCCGCTACTGTCTCCATGAGTTTCACTATTGCCTTGGGTTGCTATAGCCAAGTACCATGATCTTAGTTAGTAGTTTAAAACAACAGAAATTTATCCTCTTTCAGTCCAGGAGTCTAACGTCGAGTTTCAGCAGGGCTCCCAGGAGGCTCTGGGCAATAACCAGGGCCAGGTGGGTCCAGCTGCTCTTCACTGGCCTTCCTTGGCTTGCATGCACAGGATTTCAACTTTGGCTGCCATCTTCATCTCTCCCTCCTCTTTACAAGGACACTTGTCACTTGAGTTAGCTACCAGCATAGTCCAGGATGATCTCATTTTGAGGTCATTAATTACACCTTCCAAACAAGGTCATCATACAGATGCCAGGGATTAGAACATGGATACATCTTTTGGGGGCCACCATTCAACCTGCTACAGAGTTTGAAGCAATTATTTCTGGTATGAGTTTTTCTACGACAAAAGATGCCAAGCCCAAGCTTTTCTACTTCGTTCACTTCGGATACTCCCAAAGTTGGCTCTGACAGCTTCACAAATGTGATTTGATTTTCAATCTTATAAAAAAGAGAGAGTTGGGACCTCCCTGGTGGCACAGCAGATTAAAACTCAGCACTAAGAAGCTAAAGCCACTTCGGCACGAGTTCGATCTCCACCCCAAAGGTGACCCACATGGCATGACAGACCTCTCCTGACCTGCCCGCTGCTCCCCTCAGCAGTGTACTTTGTTGATCTGCCTGTTCTGCTCCCCACTCTGTCTCTGGTGAATTCTCTCACCACCCCTGCATCTCTGGCCTGTATC